CTGTAGATCTCTGTATTATTTCACACATCTGCTTGGCGAATAGCTACGGCAGGTGGTCCAAATGCGTGAGTATCGGCATGGGTGGGATGGAGAAGGCAACACGAGAATCCAAAAAAACAGTTTCAAGACCTTGCTTTTTCTGCCCCAACCAGCACAGCACCTGCCAGCAAGTGTGCACCTGGGCAAGCCTCCCGAGCCTAGATGAATATTAACTGTATTTGCAAGACAAGCAGGGAGGCGTAGCTAGGCCTAGTTAGGCCAGAGGCACTCGGCATCAGCCCTGTCCACTGCACAACTGGCTGGTCCATGGCCGCTGAAGCAGGCGTGCAAGTCATTCGTGAAACAAAGCAAGCGCAGGGTACAGTTAGTGGGGTCCGCGCTTCTATGTGTCGAGGGGCGGAGGGATGTTGCTGATTTTTGTTCCTGGCTCATAGTTTTGGGTAGCGCTTATGCCATATGGCCACGTAAACAAAAAACCATGCAGCACGAGATGATGAACCTCTAGCCTCAGAATGCGTGGAAGCCTGCAAGTTTGTCGGTTGCAAGACAGAATGCGAAACCTCACAAGTCACTCACAAGGGTTCATGCAATCGGTGCAGGGCTGAGCACCAGAACCCGTAGCGTTGGTAAGCCTCCACAGCCTTATTTGGCCCGCACGGGCGGGCCATCGCGCAGTGTCAAGGCCACAGCTTTTCAGAATGAGCAAAGAATGCCAATATCGATCCGACTGGCAGACCCAGCATGCCACCATCATCGACCCATTGTCCAAGTAAGGTAGTGGCGCAAATGGCGCTTCTTCCCTCAGTGGTGGCATTTCCGCTGCGCCAGCTCGTCAAGCTTGGTCACCTCGCTGCGACGGTCATGTTGGTAACTGTGGTAACTAATGTAACTGATGGGCCCGAGTCCCGGTCAACGCAACGCAACATGTGGCACTCAGGTCTCATCATCGTGCAGGACCGCTGGGCTGGCTTCTTGCTTGCCCGCTTTGTCCGTGGAGACTCCTGCGCTCTTAGATTTGTTGTTCGCTGCATGTGCTGGCGTGACCTGGCGCTTTCAGGCCATCTTCCTCCTCTACTTCGCATATGCCGCTTACGTAGCGAAGTTGCAATGAACACAAGTGTGTCTAGTGGACCAGTGCGCATTCGACCTTGTTGCATAAGGACATCCGGCTGCATGCGATCCGGACGCGACACAGCTGAAATTAGATCGCTCCCTTCGGACCTATCCACGCAGCGACGCAGATCAGCGCATCCTGAGCAGAAGGCTTCCCACTGCACAATGCGCAGTGGGAACCCATGTCATGGGATCGTTACTGTAAGGTTTGGGCACATCATCCACGAGTTCGATCCGTGGTTCAACTACCGAGCTGCTGAAGCTTGCCTGCAGGGTCTAGAGGAATGAACCAAGCTCTGACATGCAATGCCGGGAACGACGTACTGAAAAAGCTGAGTAACCTCCCCAGTTCAACAAAGTACCTTCAAGCGGAGAGACATCAAATCACAAAAGGTCGCGTACATAAGGATATGGCCACAGATTTTTTGCTTGAGATCAGCCGGCATACAGACAAAAGCAGGCTTAGAGTGTGTGAGATGCGAAAAGATGCGAAAAGGGCTAATATGGGCATGGACTGTACACTCTGAGAAGCATTTCTCATCTGCAAAGTCGAAACGGACTTAGCTACATGTGTCTGCATAGACTTGGTTTCCATGGTTCGGCCCCTCTTGCATGCTGCAAGGATTTGCTTAGACACTGGTCCGGTCTGAACTCCACATTTAGCAGCCTTTATGCGGGTTGGCTTCCTAGCTTGGGCTGAGAGAGCTCAGGAGTACCTAGCGCAGCACGGCCTGTCCAAGTTCTTCAAGTGGTACGACTACATGTCCTGGTACCCCATCGGACGGCCAATAGGCTGGAGCATGGGATCCGCCAGTTTGTGGTGTCAGCATCTAAATTCGTGACTCACTCATTTCGACCCGAAAAGTGCGAGTGAGATTGTGGGACCTATGGCCTCGCTGGACCCCCATGAAGCGTGGTAGGGTAGGTGTTCAAAAGCTTGTTCTGTTGCCAAGTGAAGCTTGAGAAGCCACCGCAGGGGGGTCCCGGAGAGGGTCCTGGGAAAGGGGGGAAGGCGGAGATGCCGATTTGGATCAACCCCCATGCGCCGATGTCAAAGTTGTCCTCTGCGTGGCATGTCACAATGTTTGTGTGCTGTTGGTGTGTTGCGTGTGGTTGCTGGCTTCCTTGCCTGGCTGCTTAGCACAGAGGATGCTGCAGGAATCAGCTCTCTGGAAAGAATCGAGCTGACAGCCTAATCAAGCGACATTGACAACGTGTGTTCACTGTGTGTTCCATCTTAGTGACACAGTCTTGTGCTTGAGATCTTCCGTTGTCGAACGACCAGGCACAACCATTTATCCTGGCATGCAGATGTGGGCTGTTGCCATTTGGGAGGCTGGTTGACGTGCTTAGAGCCACCACACCAGCATAAACGCTTGATGGGGTGGAGTGCATCGGCAGGTGTTGAAACACGTTCCCGAGACCAAGGCAAAGCCTTTTTGCGCATTGCACTCATTGCACAGCCTCCCAGTGCAAACCTGTCATATCTGTCATGATGTGCATGATGTGCTTGTGCCATACCGACGGACCGTTGTCGCAAAGGCGTGCCTGGAAAAGTCGTAGCTTCGGTCTCCAAGCTCTCTCTAAGACTCCATCAATTTCATCACCAAAGAGTATCAGCCATCGATAAGAAGCCATGTCTGCCTCAGCCAGGTCCCTCTGCCCTTCATCCCGGCCTTGCGGCCTTTGGCATCTTGGGCACGTAGGCGGGAGATCCCCGTCATGTTTTAAACGGACTGAAAGGTGCCATGTATCCGCAAACAAGCTCACACTCTCTGTCAGGAATGGATGGCCGTTCATTCATTGGCCTCTCAAGCTCGAGGGCTGCATTCAGCCATATGCTGTTTGTCTACCAAGCGCAGCAAGAACCACGGCACCCGATACCTTTTAAAGGACCAGGTCCGGTGCACCTCTCAGCCCAGGTCCACGATGGTGGTCGGGCCTATGTCTGTCAATGACATTTGCTGCATGATCCCACCATGGTGCCCTGGCTTTAGGATGGCTCTTTGTATTCCAGGCCTGGCACAACGATCGTTGCTTTGACTTGGTCGATTGCCAGCAGATTCCAGCATCCAGCCACAAGAGCCACGAGACAAGAAGACCACATCGTTACACTGTCATGGGACTGTCCTCCATCCCTTCATAACTGGAGATTGAATGAAGTGAGGTTTGGCTCTGTCGCAACTTCTCGGCAATCAGGGCTGTACCGAATAATGCTTTCCTCTTTTCCACGACACGTTGTTGCTGAAGGAAGTCTATAGAGTTGAAGAGCCTCCGCCGGCAATGCCAATTCAGTCGGCAAGTGATGCGCCTACAATCTTAGGCCTTAGGCACTCGTTCAACCACTGCAAGAGCACAAGTCTATAGGAAAAGACTGAAGTGCATGAAAAGGGTTCAGATATACACAGCCAAATAACATCAAATAACTTGCCTTTACAGAGGCATAGACCGAGGAGGTGGGACGGGGAGAGGGCGTTCAATGGGCCACGAGTCAGTGGAGTCATATCTAAGCCTTCTAAGCCTGCGCACTGTTCAGCCGAGGCATCGATCTTCACCGGTCTGCTGACCTACGAGATCTCGCGCAGTGTGAACGCGGGCCTGATGGCGTCTTATTTTGAACGCAGTTTTGGTCTTTGTCCCATTCAAACGACAGCACACCTGTTCGGGAATAACTGCGTTCAGCCGAGACATCTTGCCTCTCAGGCGACTGGCATCATGGCTATCATTCCAGCTCACATCATGCGATCAGTTGGAGGCACACTGGATGATGAATGACGCATGCAGCTGGACAGCTCTAACCAGCCACCAATGCCATTGGCGCGCAGGCAAGTTTGATAACGAGGCTGTTGCCATGACGGCAATTTGCATGACGCATCTCAGCAAGTTTGGCAGCCATGGTTCCTCAATCCCTGTTAAATCTGTTAACAAAGTCGGCTTTGCCACTGGGTCAATTGAGTCATGCATCTGAGGTTCTGGTTGTGGCTGCTCTCTGTCTGCGGCTCAGGCGATGACTGCGCCCTTGGGGTTAAGGCGGAAAGGTGCTGTGAATGCGTGCGCCCGCCTGCCAAGATCCGCAGCCCGAAGTGGTGGCCAATTGGAGTGTTCACGGGGCTGTCATACATCAATATGGTGGCCGCTTGGGGAGGCTTGGGGGTGAGATTCACGGACTCGGACACGCAAAGTTGAGCAAAGTGCCAAGCGGGCATGAGGCTACATCTTCGTGTTGAACATGATCGGCGTCCACGCCGTCATGTTGGTGCTGCTAGGCCGATTCACCAGTGGCGTTCACAAGTGTCTTGGACGCACCATAGCTGTTCTTGGCAGCTGCCGGACATGCAGATTCTTCGGGGACCTCGCAACCGCCCCAACCCGGTCAGGGTGTACAGAGGGTGTTCAGGATTTGGGGGTTTGTGGCGTGGGTCTGGTGGCTTTGGGACTTCAGAGTTGCTGGGTTTGATATTGGGCTTTGAGGGTTGAGGATTTTAAGTCTTCCGGCCCGAACGAGTACTGCGTAACTGCGACAAGGGCTTTACCTTCTTGCGATGGGATTTTTTCTAAGCAAGAAGTCCCAGGATGACCTGCTTTCCCTGCCCTTTAAAGCCCCAAGCCCTACACCCCAGATTTGTTGCAGTGTCAAGCTCTAGGTGAAGTCATCAGTCCTCGGTTTGAGTGATAGTGCGCGCCACTGCGGCCTGCGGGAACATAAGCCAGCCCCCCCCCCCCCCCCTCCCCCCCCCCCCCTCTCTTGTTCAATGGCCCCCCCCCCCCCTCCCCCCCCTTCTTGTTCAAGGGGGGGAGGGGGGGGGGGGGGGGGGGTGGGGGGGGGGGGGGGGGGGGGGGGGGGGGGGGGGGGGGGGGGGGGGGGGGTCGTCAATAACAGTGTTCTTAATAGGGTTTCACTTGATTTTAATTAACGTTTAATAGGACTTCTTTTGATTAAAATCGGGTTTTTGTTACTTTTGAAAGATTTCTAATAATATGAATGAGATTTTTATCCCTTCTAATAAGATTTGTATTAGGTTTAACGGGATTCGTATTGAAATAATAGAAATCCTTGTCGAATTAAGTTCAACTCCTATTACAATTGATTGAACTGCTATTAAAATTAGTAGAAGTCCGATTAGAAATGCTACGAAAAAAGAAGGCAAATAGAAATCTTGTTACATTAATAGAAATCCTTTTGAAATTAGAAGGATTCCGAATAAAAAGCAATAGGAATCCTACCAAACATGGCAGAGGAAATGTGGAATTGAGCATGGGGGGGGGGGGGGGCCCCCCCCCCCCCTTTCTTTGTGGGGGGGGGGGGGGGGGGGGGGGGAGGGGGAGAGGGGAGGGGGGTTTGTTGGGTGAAGGGGGGGGGAGGGGGGGGGTTACCTTGAATATCCGCAGGCCTCTTTTTTACGCACTCTCACGTTTGAGTTGGTAAAGCTGCATGGCGTGGCAGGGCCTATTCGCTTTTCTATGTCATCGGTACAGCAGGCGCTGTTCAGATCCCAGTTGCCGTTGCCCCAGTCTTGTCGGCCCGGTTGGCCTGACTGCATCTTCGATGATAATTAGTGCGGTCGACTATCAATGCTGTGCCATTCCAGGCTGTACATGAGAGATTGCCTGCTCTGAAGCCTTACAAGGTGGGCTGGCAACCCCTGCGATCGCTGGAGCAGATGGGTCCGCTGCTGGTCTTCATCGGATACCAGGTCCATCGCTGAGGGCTGTAATTAATTACGTTTCAAAACATGTGCGCAGCGATACGGAAAATGTATCAGCCTGTCCTACTGACTAACGCAAGCACAACAATTTTCCATACATTGTGGACCAAGAATGCCACAATCCTGACAGCCTCATTGGCCTGACTTCTTTGTCGCAGGTCCTTGCTTTTTGCGACTTCCAGCGTCGCCGCAAGAAGATGGAAACCTGGGCATTCGTCAAGTACCGCATCCTGCACCTGGCTGCAAGTTGATACAGACGAGGCTCGCACTATCTCGCCACATCTCGCCACGTAATTCGAGGAATTGGAGTTCTCAGTGAGGTCTTTGGTATCATGCCAGGCCCGCCTTGCCGAACTCAGGATGTGCATTCTCACTGGGTTGGCTCTTGTTGCAGTAGCAGCGCCACAGCTGCAGAGTTTTTTGGGCCGATGGCTGACGCTACACCGCCCGAGAACTGAGCCAAGGTGATGCTTTATCCCACTGGCTATTTCGGCCCGCTCTCCTCCAGGATTAGAGGCCACGTACGTTTACGTAGTTGCGCGCTGCGCGCTCTTCTTCCGCTGATCAGCGCATCGAAACCCACCGCCTGGTGACTTGAGGGTCGAAGCAAGCCCTCGGAAGCCTCTAATAACCCTTCAACTCTGAAACCTCAATCAGTCAAAACCTTAAAAAAAAAACGGTTCCTTTATTCCGAGGCCTTCTCACAAAACGCCCTCTCAAGACCCTTTCTCAAACCGTTTAAACCACTTTAGAGACCGGACCCTAGAGGCTCACACGCCAAAGTACACCAACCCGACAGGATCCCACAACACTGCTAAATCCGCGAAAGGGACTTCACAACAAAACACCACAGGTCGGCCATGAAGTCCCATGCATATGGCCCATTATGGCCCTTTTGCAGGTCTCTTCGTGAAGCACACGAAGACAGGTGCCTCGCCGTGCTTGCCCGAGCATCAAACTAGCGACGGTATTGTGATTGGCTGCTTGGAAAGGCAACCCGCTGGTAGACTCTGTTGCCGAGCACCAGCCCGCAAACCCGAAGATCTACGACACTCGGCAAACTTTAAGGCAAACTTTGGTGGGTCCCGGCGACCTCAGCGGGAGGCTAAGAGCCCTGTGGGTGTGCACAGCCAGGCCTCACACCTTGGCCTTCCTCTGAACTATGTCCTGTTTGGTGGTCTGGTTTCTGCTTTCAATCGGAACAACGGCCAGAAGCTTAGAGGGTTGTCGAACCCATGCAGACAGGCATGTGTTTATTCGGAGATGAGATTGGAAATGGTTGGAACCTCTCCACAGGCTTCTACTTCCTTTGCCTCTACGGCTTCATCGTGCCTGCCTTGGCCTTTTGATTCTCCATGGGCCATGAAGTCGAGAGGTGGCATTTTGCCGCACTTTGCCATACTTTGTCTTGGGGCAAGAGGTGAGATGGTAGGGCAACCGTGGGATACGTTATGGTACGTTCCAAAGCGTGCGCGGGAAGGTAGCTGGATGAGGTAAATAAGCTTGACAGCTGCTTCTCGGACATCCCTACTGACAGCGGCTGCCAGCGGCGATTTCCAGTGGCAGCTGTAGGGGAAACACATATCGCTTCATGGCATCTGATGCCACCAGCTTCTGACCCTTGCTTTCTTGCCAACTTGCTTACCCCGGCACGGAAGAAAAAGCCAGATGGAGAGGGCAGCCAAGCCCAACCTTTTGCGCCACCTCCATGGAGAAGAACGTAAATGGGAGGGGTTCCAACGCCGCCAAGCGGCGGCATTTCAGAACAGCTTAGGCTCAGCTTAGGACTCGTTTAGAGTCCTAAGCTGTTCTGCTACTGGTACATGGATGGACCATGAGAAATGCGATTACTTGGGCGTTTTCCCATGCCACTTGTTTGGCTGCAAGGCGTCGCACTTTTCTGGAAAGATGTCGCGGCTGGTGCTGATTTGTGGCCCGATCGTGTCCGTCGCATGTGGCCGCTCGGCAGTTTCAGCGGTCATGCCTCAGCAGTTCGTTGCCTCGCTTGCTGGCAGCCTGAGTTGAACCAGTCCGCTTGCAAAGGAATCTGGTGCGGCTTCCTTCTGGATATGATCATAGAGCCGCCTCTCAGCTAGTTGCATCATCTTGTTGTTGGCGATTATTTTGTTGATGTCTCTTACAACGACTGCTTGAAGTTGACACACCGAGCCTTGCTTCTGACTTGCTCGAGGTTCCTCCTCCTGCTTGGCAAGAAGGGTTATGAACCACGGTCAAAGGCATCCTCTTCGGAAGACACCCCGAAGTGCGCAGCTCAGCTTCTGCTTGGCGGTTCACAGCTCGAGGCTCGGCAGGCTACCCGTAAACGTCATGGACGAAGACATCTGTGCTTCTCAGCGCCAGAGACGCTTCTGTTCCCAGGTCGGGCAAAGGAAAAGCCGAAAAAGAGAAGGGAGACAAAGCAGGAGCAATGACGTGTAGCATGAACACTCCTCCCCTTGATTGATGGGCCCTGGCTCCTCAAAGATCTGCCTTTGGCGGACGCCCGTCTTTTGAAATCACCATGCGCCATCACCAGTAAAAGCGCGGGAGCCCCCTTTGAAAGGAAAGGACAAGGATGTGAAAAAGAAGAGGCACGGACATCACAAGACGACATGACGACATGGGTTCCGGAACGCTGTGCGAGAAACTGGTCTTGAAGACATGGAACTCGTTGGGGTCCGTTCCTAAGCTGTAGCGAGGAGTTTGTGCTTTGCGAAGGACGGTCAAGGAGCAAGATCCTGAGCTGGAAGAGCATGAAGAGGAGAGTCCGAGCAGAGATGATTTTCGACTGTTGCCTTTGCTTGCTTTGCACCAGACCTGAAGGGTTGGGCGGCCGTTGGGGGAGTCTGCATCCCTGGCTTGAGCATGCGTGTGAAATTGAGACGCATTGTTGACAGGAGTTGCGTCCTGGCGGTGCCATGCAGCTGAAGCGCATGGTGAAAGGCTCGTGGCACTAGTAAAAACAATCTAGTGCCCGCAAGACTGCAGTCAATTGTCGAACAGGGCACTTGCACTTAGATGTCCTTGCCAGCAGTCTGGCAGGCTACTACCAAAAGATGTTCCCCGAGAGTTCTGTGCCACACGGCCTTTGATTTGAAGAGGCATTGCTCAATGAGTGCGATGTCCTGCCAGCTTTTGGAAAAGAGTCTTTATCTGATCATTTCTTTCGCAACTTTGGTTCCAGAGGGTGTCCTTCACCTGGAGCTCTGGAACCACCAGGTTCTTATCGGTCTTCAGTTCCAACAGTGTCCCAACTCGCAGCATCCCAGGGCTGACTTCCGAACGGCGCGCTATGCATTTGACAACAAGCTGCCAGTACTTCTGGTCCGAGCTGTGGCATCTGTCGAAGCCGGGACTGCACAGAGCAGGTCTGGGATGGGCGTTGAGGCCAGCTACTTCAATCATCTTCACCGGACGTTTTGAAGAACGATCATCAGAGTCCAAAGAAACGACGCGTTCACCTACCCCCTTACGTGCTTCGTGCGATTCCCCCCCACATTGCTCAGTGAGTGCTAAGGTGTTCGTCGGGTACATGCTGACAATGAGACGCTTAGCGCATCCAGCGGAAGTGATGCACTGGGAGACAGCAAGATTTAAGTGGCAGCCGCGTAAGCCCCGTGCACGGCCCAAAAAGGGTCTGCTTTGCTCGATGATGGGCTGGAGGCGAGCTTCGAACAGAGCTCCCCGAGTTCGTGGAGCGGTGCAAAGCCATCGGAGCTTGGGTTGACAAGGGGAGGGAGACCAGCGGATGCAATGCCATGCCGGGGACTTCATGTCAACTCACTTTCCTAGTGTCAACAACAGGCAGAACTTAGGGGATCAAAGCTTTTCTGCTGCAAGTGAGGAGAGCAGGTTGCCAGCCCGACGGTTATGTATGCCGTCAGGCAGAAGGCCGCCAAGCTGCAAGCGAGAGCTCAAGTGGTTAAGCGCTTTGTTGCGCACAGCCCATGAAGGACGGAAGCAACTACATCGTGGACGACTACTACAAGGGCTACAAGTGGCTCGAGCCACTCGGAGCATGTCCAGACTGTTCAGACTCCTTGGACTTGCATTCTGACAGTGCCAAGACAGGAAAAATACCGCTGAAGATGCCCGGGTCATGGCCTGGTGGGACTATGGCAGCTAAGCTGCATGACAGTCTGTTGTGATTTAATTCTTGGACTGCACGGTGGCTCTGCCCTGCGCCGAGGTTATCAGATCACCGGCATCGCGAATAGGCGCTGCTGGCAAAACTTCCTGTGTCGTGCCTTCTCTCTTCATCCCCGTGAATGCTTTCGCTGATGTTAGCGAAGATTCACCACGGCCCATGAACACCATGGGCACATTAGGGCACATTGATGCGCTCGATGGCTATGCTGGCAGTCACCATGGCGTGCCAGGACATCCATTGCAGATGGCAATACCTGGAACCATGAGCATATTGCGACGCTCGGGCGCACACTCACCAGCGAGGCCAGCAGTGGAACTGCCCCAAAGACATTGCACGGCGCGCTTGCAGAACTGCGTTGGCAAGAAAGCTCAAAGGTGAAGCGGGCCCACAACGCTATCCGGCATTTGGCCGACTATGTTCTTGTTTGGGGTGGTGGCCAGCCGCTTGGCAGAACAGCCCGACAGCTGCAAGAACTCCACAGCAAACTTCGCAGCGAGGCGAGATGACTTGGGCAAGTCGCCTCACCTCGCCAGGCAGGTCCAATGGGCAAAGCTGTCATTGCAGCGGCTCTACAAGCGCCAATGCTCCTGCCAGTGCGTTGACGTTGGAGTGTTCGTGCTGTCGGTAGCATGTTCTGTGTAGCCCGGAAGGGTCGAAGCTGTGTTGAGGATCGGTAACTCCGTTTTCCCCGACCATTGTGGGGACGACGACCCCAAGTGCACGAAGTTTGGCTTCTTGGCACTGCCAGCGATGTGGTCAAATGGACCACAAACTGCCCTGGAGAAAAAAGGTTTCCAGTTCAGGTTGTAGGACCTGTTTGCTGGCCATCGCTTGCTTCGATAGCCAGCTTGCGAGACTCGAAGTCCCACACAATATGTTACGCACGACCGGGGCTGGAGTTTGGACAGTTAGCCTGCTAGGGCGAACAGGACTTAAAGTGCCAAGGCTTCTATGCCGACCGGTCGCCGACTCCAATGATGGAGAAGTCGCTGCTATACAAGCTGGCACCTTTTTGGCAACTCAAAAGGATGGCCACTGATGCTTGCGACATGCGTCTTGCGTGCTCCAAATGTAGCGGAATTGTTGCAAGGTAGAGCACAACGTCAAGAAGGGCGTGCGGGTGAATGAGTATCGCACTCAAAGTTTTTGCGTGCAGCTCCACTAAGCAGACTCTGCCCAAAGCTCCCGAGGCGCTTCTTCAAGCACGTCCACACCACCAAGCATGGCCTTATGCAATCTGGACCGCAAGAGAAAGCGAGGTTGAGGGCACGCTGAGAGGCATGTCAGGTGTGGGTGTTGCAAATAACTCGGCGCAGTCTTCGTTGCCAATTGATGAGTTTAAGAAGTTGTGGTGGTGAGATTTCAACACTCTAAGCATGATCCATCAAAGGTGTGCAGAAAGTGGAGAGCATCTTTCAACCGGTCATATTCATCCAGTGAAATCATGTATCGGGCCGCCTTGAAGCTGATAGGAGTACCACAATAGTAATGGCAACTATGGGCCATGCAAGCCCATGCATGGGCACAACCTTGGAGGGATCAACATAACACATCATATATCACACGACAGTATATGTTTTTTATATGTTTATATTGTACGCCTTTCGACATGTTCGTTTTCATCATGTTTGAGGGTGACGTCAGGGTTGGAGCAAAGTGTTACGCTAGTAAGCCGTTCGTTGCCCTACAAGGAGCTTGGCCAGATCTTTCTGTAATTGTTTAAAGGGACTTATACCGGAGCCGGCCGAGCAAGCCCCAAATCCTGAGAGAAGTAATGGCGAGCGAATCCTGCGCACTAAAGGAGCTTATGGCTTGTTTGATTCCAGGCTGCGAACCCGTAGTCCGTGGCTAGACGGCTGGCAAGAAAAGAACTTCTGGTCGCCAGGCGACTCACATGTCCTGTACCCCTGAATCACAAACAAGCCTAAGTGTTTTAACGAAGTGCGATGGCCAGCCCTAGTTCCTGAATGCAAACCTCAGGGAAGAAATGGAGTGAAGGGGCCTCAGGGCAAAGTATGCGTGAGGGCTTAGGTCATGTTCAATGGTACTGACGGTTGTTCGCCTGCCATGGGTCTCGCTTCGTCCCTGCCCAATGTGGCCGGCACAGGCCAGATGTTCTGGCGCAATCTTAATTTGGCCTCCTTGTTCCAGGTTGTTCTGCCTGCACGACTGGACACGCATCTCTACGGCTTCTACGGTGTGAAGACATGGATGAGTACTTTGTGAAAGCCTGGAGCCTGCACATCGCTGATTGCCAACGCGGTTTGTTTCATGCGCTTGCTCGACCTGGGGTGGAAGCCACCTCCAGCACGGCCCACTTGGGGTGGCTACCTGTAAAGTCCAGAATGACAATTGTGGTACCCCTATCAGCTTCAAGGCGGCCCGATACATGAATTTCACTGGATGAATATGACCGGTTGATGATGCTCTCCACTTTCTGCACACCTTTGGTGGGTCATGCTTAGGGTGTTGAAATCTCACCTGTTTTGTACACCGATTGCATCGAGTCCCCCCCCCCCCCCCGCTTTGACCTTGAACCCCTACTTTGCTTTGCATAATGCAAAGCCAACGCGCAAGGAGACAATGGGCCACACTTCCAGGAAGGTGGAAACCCCGTGTTGTTGTTTGCACAGCGAGCTTGACCCCAACCTGAGGCGAATTTATGAGGTGCAGAATGTTTCGCAGGAGCGAGATGCACTGACACTGGAGACAATTGTAGAATGGCCGAGTGTCGAGACAAATCCAAAGTTGAACATGCATTGGAGAAATTGCTTGCTTTCAGACTTGGTTCGTCGAACACAGGAGAGCAAGGACTGGATTGCAGACCCGAAGAATCGAGTCTGCGATGCCCCAGGCAGCTGGTACTGCCGCGAACTCAGCTGAAGTTGCATGACGGAGTGCTGATGATCATCATCCTTAGCTGTTAATCCATGCTTTGCCTGTCCGCCCAAACCTGAAACGTGCATGATGCTTCAAAGAAGTGTAGCCCCAAAGTAGGCCATGAAGAATCAAGCAGAATGTGAAGAGTTGATCCCCGTCGAGTCTTCAATGTGCGCCAGGGTGTTGTCCGAGAAGCTCTGCAGGGCATCCCAAACCACATGGGCCAACCGCTCCAAGCAAAGAGAGCTGCTGAGTTACTATAGCGTAGAGCTGGAAGACTCAAGGTGTCGGCCAGTACCCCCCTGCTTTGGAGAAGCTGATCGCGAAAAGGAGAAATTTCGCACAGATTGAGGACAGAGTGATCCGGTTGCAAATGAGAATCCCGCACTGAAGTCGGACGCTGTCAGGACTTCAACCGCAAGGGTGAGAAGAGTGCCTACACCCGACTCATCGAGAAAGAGAAGGGCGAGCTCTGAGGCCTGAGTTTGTTCCAAAGTCCGGACGGTCAGAGAAGTCCGGACGGTCAGAGAAGTCGTGGCCAGAAGCTGTCAAACTTGTTTTTGCTAGAAGGGTGCCTGCTGTGTTTCAAGCTCATTCAAAACTTCCAAAGATGGAGGGAAGGAGGTGTCTCTGAGGGTGAGGGGAGGGGTAGGGGGCAGGCGGGAGGGTAGGGGTGTAGGGGTAGCAGGTGAAGGCTGTCAGTCACTGACCCCTACCAGCCAAATCACGAAAGCTAGCTCTGTGGAGCTGGCGGGAGTTGTCGTTTACCCATGCACTGGTATTCACCTTGTTAAGAAGCTTCCAGGGAAAAAAAGGGTTCCACACCTTAACAGGTCCCCCCCCCCTCACCTCACCATGAAGCATTTTCGAAGGATAAGGTGCCGGCGCCCCCCCCCCCCCCTCCTTTAAGGTGGTTGCGTGTGGGATAAGGTAGGGGGGGGGGCCCCCCCCCTACCACCTTCAGGTCCCCCCCCCCCACAAGGTCCCCCCCCACCCCACCCCAAGGTCCTCCCCCGCCCCCCACAGTCACCATGCTCTGAAGGTCTGTGGTACTTTGCAGAGGTCGTACTGAACAGAGCGTCCCTGTACCTAAACTTCGTTTGCGACACGGGGTTCCAGCGGGGGAAGCAAGGGGGCTGAAGGAGTTTAGGGCTTCAGATTTCGAGTTTAGGGGTCTTCGATCTTACCTGACTAACCGGTTGAGTCTCTACATGGACTCAATCGTGCTTGTTAACCGCTGCTCAAACATGCATTCGAGACTGAAGCTGCAGCTTGGAGCAGCGATACCCATTCTGCATGTGCACGCCATCAAACTTGGGGGAGCCGTGTGCGGTGACTAGCTTTCGTAGCCCCTTCTCAAGTTACATCTGAAGGCCAGCAACTCATGTCATTGTTGCAGCGCTTTTCTTGCAGCTGAGAGCAAAGCAAGTAATGCGCAGGTGAACCCAGACAGCGGTGCGGAGGATTGACTCTGAGGATAGTAGCGTGAAGCATCTCCGGGGGCTTAGTACCTGAAAGCAAGAGCCCGAACCATGGCGAGACTAAGCCTAGGCTGTGTTCCCACATCTAAGCAAGGTTATTCAGGAAAAACTTGCATTGCTTTAGTGTGCTTTATGGTCGCCATGCTGCGCAGCGATGCGTGCAGGCAGACAGACTACCCTTGTCATGCGCATGACGCATGAGGGAAAAGATTCGTTGATCTTCTCTGTGTGTCGGTACCTTGGTGAGTCCTTCCCTGGCGACAAGGCCTGGTACCAGCAACATCTTCCTAGCTGCCGGGGTGTGTCTCTTGCTCTGCAGCTTTCAGCTGCTCGCTGCACACACTTTTCTTTTCAACGGACGCTTTCGGCTCCAATGCACAAGGTGCAAAAGGACCGGGCCCAGAATGCACAACTACCAGACTTGAAAGGATCCGTATGGCCCTGGCCTTCCAGATGAAAGTCAACAACTCTGTCCCTGAATGGAGGATGATGTTGAAGAAGTGTCAGGAGTTCTTGTGATGGGCCAAGCCAAAACAGCAATATTTCAGCAGCTTACTGTAAGATTCATTGTCAGACTCACACAGCCGAGCCGAGCCATGATACTACTGCCGCGAGAAGCTGTGGACCGAAATGCCTATCGCAGAGGTTCACTTGGAGGCTATGGGGCTGGCTTGCGAGCGCAGACGCTGCGTCTCAGACGAGATCGAGAGTCCGATGAAGTCCCTTTTACTCCCAATCATCATCGTTGGCTGCCGGCAGGTCGATCCTTCCTCGGCATGGGCGCTTATGATTCTTGGCATGTTCTTGGCCCAGCGGCCAAAACTGCAAGCTTCAAGGTTGACCAGGCTGCGTTGTTTCGGCTCATTCCTGGGGCCCTGGGGTAGGGTCAACAGCAGCTCGTCCAGCGGAGCCAAGAGGGACTTTCAATCCTACAGCCGAGCTGAGTGCCACAAACTGTGCAGTTCCGATTTTGTTGACCTTGACGAACCCTATTCCCCGGCCCCAAGCTGCTTCACAAAAATCCCTAGAGCAACTTCCTCCGCCGAGGGACTCGAGCAGTTGGTGAGCCCAGGCGCCCAGAGACCTCCAATTGCAAGAAAGGGGTTTCGAGTGAAACGCTTCTCCCAGCAGCCTTAAAATTTCACGAGCCGGAGAATGTAGGCGGCGCAATTTACTGCTGTCTTGATCTGTTGACACCTTGACCAGAGTAGAGAGAATGAGTCGTCTAAGGAGAGTTCTTGATCAAGGAGGGCGCGCGCTGTAGCGACTTCCTGTGCCTAAGCACCGCAAAAGAAACTACCCCATACTACCCCTCGGCACTCAGCAAACTGAAGAGTTAGTGCGTGACTCACTATGCACTGGCTCGTCCAGTCAAGCCAGCTATCGCCACAGCAAATCACAGCAAGCGGCACCTACACATGAGGAAGAACTCAGGCACTTCCATCAGAGTGGCGAATGCTTCCACTCGACGTACAACGCCACCTGGCGAGAGTCGGGAGAGCATCCAAGAGGTCGCAGGCTTTTTTGTATTGTCCTTTGAGAAGCTGAGGGTGCTGCCCCAACACCCAGGTTTTTGGAGCCTTCCACCAAAGGGGTACTCATACTTGGCCGCCCAGGTCGAGTACAAACTCGGTGAAGGTGGCTTCGGCAAAGTCTTCGCAGCGTGGATGGCATCCGATCAGATCCGATCAGGGGACTGCAATTCTCTTTTGCCATGTTTCAACGCAACTGAAGTATGGGCACAGAAACTAGGCCCGGCTGCAGTCGGTACAGTTCACTTCTAGCCGTGTTTCCTTGCTCCTGGCATCTCACATTTAGTGACAGGAGCGGCTGCTGTCACGTAGCCGCTGTCACTACATCCCTTCCCACATGCTCTGTGCGCCTTTTGGTCTTTGTTCCTGCGCTTTTCCACAGTTGACCGTTCAGCTCCGTCCAAGAAATCAAAAACATAAGAAAGTAGACAATGTAGATTGAAGCCAATACGTTGGGGCACTCCCGTTTTAGAAGCCCAGGCAGCAACCCACAAGGTCAACGGATGCCTCCGCGCCGTGAAGCGGCTGCGGAAGGCGATGAGATCTTCTGCGGTTCCCACTCAGTCCCCAGCCGCAGCCCCCCTGGCCCCCCCCGCACCCCCACCCCCACCCCCCCCCGCTTGTGGATACCACAATCCTAAGCCTAAAGCCCCTCCAAAGCCCCTGTTAGCAGCAGCTAGTTGGGTGGGGGCTGCATTCCAAACAACAGCAGTGTGATTTTTGTGGGAGCCCAGACGGGCCGGAAGGCGGCTTGCTTACACTTCGTCAGGCCAACTAGCTCCACATACGCGGTACATGTCTCAGTTCATGATCAGTCCATGCAGACTCCTGGCCGGCAAGAGCTGCACAAAAACGAGCTCAATGCCTTACTCGGCCTGGACCACCCTCACATTGCAGCTTGGCAAATGGAATTACACCATCGGCATGGTTCCTCTTGGCTTTGCCTGTCGGGTCAGAGATCAGATGCGGGGTGGGCAGTGACTCTGCCCTGCACGGAGAGGTGTGCCAGTTCCGGTATGTTATACGTGTTATGTGGTGAGCGTTGCCGGATGACTGTCAAGCTGCGGACCCCAAAGCGACTATTCCCAAGCAGACAAGGACAAGATCATCAGGCTGTGTGGCTGGCTGAACCCCTTGCATGTGCGTATCTGAGGTAAAGTTATTAGAATATTATGATGAGGATGCGCCCTGTTGGCATTGGACTTGCTGGACTTCTCGAGACTTCGCAACCTGCTTCAACATGCTGATACCATATGATCCAGACCTAAGATCCCTTGAAAGCATGGCTGTCCGTAAAAACACCTAGCTTTGGGACCATCTCGGAGGCCACCGGAACCATCCGGAACCATGTCCAACCCTCCAGGAGTATCTTTATTTGGTCTTCGAGCTTTGCGAGGGCTTGGACTTGTTAGAAACAATCCGAAGCTCCCCAAGGCGAAGGCAGGAGCTCACAGAGACTGAAGACTGCATGGACTGCATGCACTGCATGCACTGCATAGACTGCAGAAGCCCTGGTAGGGTGGTGGCCAGTAATGGCAGGTGTGCAGCACCATAACGGGGTGCAGCGGGCATTCGATTGCCCTGGGAGGCTACATGAGTTGGAAGCCTCGGTCGCGCTGCGGCACATGCTCAAGGCGCAAAGCTTAAGGTGAAGATCTGCAGCTTCACGGCCAGGATACATGAAGTGCTCTATATTATAAGGCTGGCAATGAGAAGCTGAATAGGTGGAAATCCTAACCTGAAGGCCATTCTGCGAAGACTTGTTTGGAGGGTTGATCCTGCCGGCTTGCAGGCATTGCAATGCTGTCACGCGCAGTATCGAGGGCATTACGCTCCTTGCCCAAATGCAGGCGAAAGAACAGTGTACTGTAGTAACCTTTCTGTAGCAGTGCAGCACTTGACCTGCTCCGCTGTTTGTTTCCATAGCCGAGGACATAAAGCCAGAGAATTTTATGTTCAAAAGCCCCTTACCTTCAGCAAGTTTGGACTTCTGTTGACTTGAAGGATGCTTCATTGGATTCATGGCATGCAGGGTGGCTCCGCGGCCAATGCTCACAGCACGATACCAGTCTGGATCCGTGTGCGGCAAATGCCGAGCCCTCTTCTGCAAATCAGGTGAGACGGAGGGTAATATTGCTCACGGCAATCTTAAGAAGCTTGCCTGCACATGGTATTTGAGACCTTTTCTTTGCTGCGTATGTTGGGCACTTGGGTAGAGGGCTCCCCCGCCTGCCTCCCTTCAAAAGTACAACAGAAGCACGTTTCTCTGCTGCAACTTCAAAGACGCAAGGCTAGGAAACTGTATAAAATGGAGGTTGCCCTGTGGACATCCTGAAGAAGTGCAGGATTTCGAGGGAATAAATGCTTCTTCCCTTTCAGATATGGAGGAAACGGAAGAGTCCCCAGAAACCGGCCCCAAAAAAACAAACTAGACGCGGACTCGAAAGAGAAGATTCTGTTGCCTGTTTTTTGTGTTTTTTGCGCAGCTGCCTTCGTCGCCAGGTCGTGCCCTACTGCCTTAAAGAGCAGAAGCTAAGGATGGTGGACTTAGGGTTGAGCAGCTGCTTCGACATGCATCGCAAACACCGTGTTTCTGGCACTACAGCCCCTTGGCCGTGAGGCAAAGACGTGAGGATACGTGAGGCTGAGTTGAGACGTGCTTTTGCACGCTTTTGCCATTGGATCCAGCTGCCAGCTTAGGCTTACATGGCTCCTGAGTTCTGGAGTGGCGTGTACGGCCCGGAAGGCCGCTGAACGGTGCCCCCATCTTCATCAGGGTCATGTTTCGAGCAAGGCATTTCTTCTGAGCGCAACAGCCTTGAACAACCCTCGCCTTCCCAACATGCAGGATTGGAGTATACAATGGATGGAATGCTAGCATGACCGCATGACCATGTATGATGATCCGCAGGCGACGTTTGGAGTTGTGGAGTCGTCCTCTTCGTCATGTTAACAGGCTCGTGGCAGAGCTAAGATTGGCGAATGGTTCCGGAAAAGCTGAGTGGCAACTAGCACGGGGTAAACCATCCTGACTTCCTTCTTGCATATGTTGCACAAGGATAGGAGAAGGGTCAGTTGCGGGCATGGCTCCAGACCATGATGAACGACAAGCCATAGATGCATGCCCGCACTTAAACAGGAACTCCACTGCTGGACGACATCTCCCCAGCGACAGTCAAGCGCGGCGTGACAGCATTTTTTTTGGTCACAGAATTGCGGGTTGTGATGATTCTATACTCTACGGGCGCGATCTACGGTTGCGATGAACGACGAGATGCCCATGGGAGAAGTTGAGGAATCACACTTGCCCCTACAAAGTATGAGCTCAGGCGAGACCCGGGTGCGCCAGATGCTCCGTGAGCGCGTGGAGGCCGGCATCAGCGAGCACCGGCCCCGGAGCTGGAGCTGGGAGCATAAGAGGGCCCTACATAGGCGGCATCAAGGAACTCTTTTACGTGTAGTGTGGGAAAACGTGATGGTATGAAACTGATGCAGAAACCTTTTGTTCATGCAAAGTCTTGACCCTCATGTCTTGATTTCCAGTATCGAGCTGTGAGGAATGCAAACATTGAATCTGTTCTTAGTGCTTTGACTAGGAGCCCTACCTAGAGACTAAGAAAGCAAAGCGCGCAGAAGATTGGAAGGATAATCAAATAGCGTCGCTAAAGGAAAGTCTCTTAGAAGAAGCAGAAGAAGGAGAGACAAGAAAAAAAATACGGGGAAACGCTATCTCGTTCCCTTTACTCGTATCTACCTTCTTCCTCGTCTCCTCCTTTCCTCTCGCCTCCTTTTTTCTTTTTTATGCTTTTAGAAACAGGTTCCCGGCTAGTTGCTGGAAAGGGAATGCCTCTGCTTTGCCCATCACCGTCTTGTGTCCTTTTCCATTTTCTCCTTCAGCATGAAGATCCATCGGTTATTTCATGATATGGATCTTGGGGTGATGGCGATAGAAACAGATCCAGACGAACATGGAGCCACAAGATGACCATGATGATGTCGATGACTTCGTAGAGCTGCTCAGAAGGACAGAGTCGAGGGTTGAGCATGGCAAGTAAGAGCTTCCCGACGTGCGTACGTACATAAAAGCCGTTCTTAGTGAGGAGTCAAAGAAGAGAAGAAGGACCAAGAAAAGTTAAGAAGGAGGAAGAATGTGGGAAGTTCCTGTCCGCTAGAACTTTTCGTTTAATGAGTTTTGCCAGTTGCCTTTAAGCTACGATTAAATCTCTAAAGCATTATAAGTTGTCAGCTTTGCAGGGAACCCAGAGTTTACAATGAAGTCTCCAAAAGCTGGAGTCGACAGCACCGATTCTTCCTTGTACTGCGTACGACAAGAGAAAGGAACATCGATGAGACGAGAGGTGGGGTGCAGGCAGGGAAAAGGAAGAAAAGCGACACCATACTTCGAGTGTTTTTGTTGTTTCTCATCACATCTCAGGGCCTGAGCTTCATGTCTTATAGCTTCAGGCCCTAGAGTAATTACCTAGCGCGACATTGGCCGTGAAGGCTCTCCCACCCCCCCACGCCCCACGGGGCCTTTGAGGACTCCTGAATTCCTCATTGAATGAAACCCCTTTCACGAGTTGTTTTAAGCAAATCAGCTCTATTGCGTTTACACACAGAGGTCCTACGCGCATAGGCAGCATAGCTTTCCAGATCCACGACCTCATCAACGCGACAAATCGACCGCTGCCATGCGCTGCAGTGAGCTGAGGTATAATATTTCTCCAGTCGCGGCAGACTTGCTGATGCAAATGCTTCAGCATGACCGGCATGCGAGGCCGGCCACTCTCAACTTCTAGAAAAGCAACGCTTGACATCCCACCCTCACAGCAGTTTCGTTTATACATGTATAAGTTATATATATATATACATATGTGTGTGTCTATATTTTATGTTAGCCCAATGGACCTCTAGGGGTTTCCTAGCCCGAGAGTTTAACGAGTTCTTGAACTGCCCGACGAATGCGGTCCTGGAGGCCCAGCATCAAAGAGGCGCTGAAGCATCGTTTCAACACAGATGGCTACGAACTCGAGAAGCAGACACGTGGTGGCACTAGGCATTTTTTTTGTGAGTGAAAGGACGGCCTCGGATAGCAAAAGCAATCACGGTGATTCGTCTGATCATGTCCCAACGCCGTCGTGTTTCTACGTTTTTCCCTTTCTTTTCTGGTTGTGCTGCCACAGAACTGAGCTTCTACGCAGCACTGGGTGAGCCGCGACTCGGAACTCGATCGCCACTGGATCCAGCTGTGGCCGGGGGAGGCCCAATAACATGAAAAATGTTTAACATGAATGACATCCCGTCGCCGCCACGCACGCGAGATTGAAGAGTAAACTCGTTGAGGCACTCCGTTGCTGCCAATGCTCGCAAGACACATGCAGACCTACTGTGTAGACGGAGCCATACGGACCGATATCTTGATGCGCCTCCCCCCCCCCCTCCCACCCAACCAGCCCTGCTTTCAAAGTCAACTACTCTTCTGGCACCCACGGCGATAGAAGCGGAGAGACAGGAACATTGCAGGATATTGCCGGCAGCTTCATGAATTTCAATATGCCAATGAAAATAACGAACGGTTACACTCGTGGTACGGCGCCAACCTCGCTGGCCGCTTTTGGTGGCCACTATTAAGGATGACATAGATGTGCATCTCATGTGGAAGAATCTCCTTCTGGGCTGCACGAAGGCTTCCTCTCAAGCACTCTCGGATGGGCGAACTGCTGCGAGGCGGGGCCTTCTTCGCAGCGACTTTATGCCATCGGGGAGTGTCCGAATGGCTGAAGCTAGAATGAGCTTCAGCTCTACGAAAGAAAGTGAGATGGCCAGGGTCTCCGCTTGCGCATCTATGCGCAGGTCGTGCGACAGCATGATGTTACGTTGGCATGTATGTCCGTGCTTATCTCTTGAGCTTTTCGACAGGGGCAGCGCCTGTCTTACAGAATGGCTATGGGAGTCGTTTCTTCCCAGATACTACCGATTTCCAGTAGTACTCGGATATTGCGTTGACGCACATTCCTTGGCTGCTGTGAAACTCCGAAGCGGCTTCAATTCAGCTCCATCCAGAGAAGCCTAACCAGAGCTCGTACGAGCAGACGAACCGCGAGCTCGGGAGCATCAAGGAGGAGCTTGACTCGCATGGTCGCAATTCCTCCACATCCAGTTCTGAGCCCTGAGCCCTTCTCTCAATCCGCTCTTGCTTCCTCAAAGTAATCCGATCTGTCGTCGCTTCCTCAAGGAATGGGTTTCATTGCGTTTGAGCCGTGGACTATCGTGGACTGAAGTAGCAAAGTCGTGCAACTCAGGCTGCTCTCTGCGGAGCGGAGTGAGGCATTGGAGATCCTTGCCAAGCTGCCGGACACCGCCCACTGGCTGCACTGGCAAATGTGCTGGCCGAGCTGCCGCTCGTGTTATGGACACCCCGCAAGATGTTGAACTGTTGAAGCTTGCTGCGCTTTTCCTGCCACGGAGATGCATCAGCGCCGAGGTGCGTGAGGTCATGCATGAGCCAATGCTGTGCCTGAGCTGCACAAGTACAACTTGGAACCCCCTCCTGAGTTTTCCTACAGGTCACACCTATCTCCCTGAAAGGTCACTATTTTGGCATGGGCTCGTTTGCAGTCTTTCAAACCGTCACTGAATCCAACCGCGCGAAACGCATAAGAGACTGCGCATTCCCAGCTTGCAAAACAGTTCGTGCGGAGAATCACGAAGCCAGCAAAGCATCGAGCCCAGGAAGAGAGTTGCTCGCTTGATCATGGTCCATGTGAGCGAGGTCGGGTTATGCAGAAGTCCCGCAGAACACAAGACTCACTGGACAGCAGATTCAAGTCCCATGAACCCCGGAGCGAATGTGGGAACAAGCGGAGACCTAAATTGCAGTGTGGCTGTACAGCGGTTAGCCTACCTCATGCTAGCCTCAACCGTTTTCCTCTGACATGTGCCAGCTCTTTCAACAGTATTCACCTTTAGCGGGCGAACAGGGCAACTAGAAAGAGCAAAATCATGCAGAAGATAAAGCCCCTTGCATCGATGACACCATGACTAGCTGCAGCACATTCACATTGCAGCATCAGAATCACAACCACCCTCATCATTGCCATCGGCATTATCTACATCAGCAGCAGCAGCAGCAGCGGCAGCAGCAGCGGCAGCAGCAGCGGCATCACGGCCATCATCCTCACCATCACAAGCAGCATCCACATCCTCGTCACTTAGCAAACTTGAGCGATTTTATGAATGAACCGAACAGACGGCAGGGTGAATCCTGCATGTTATGTTTGCAGTTGCCCGTCTTTACGTTGACCGTCGTGGTCGTCTTCATCCTCGTCATCACCACAATCACCACAATCACCATCATTCATGGTCAGCATCAGGCACTCTGTGGGTCCCCCCCTTGACGGTTTTCGCCAGGTCTCGGAAGCGGCCAGCTTGGCATTCCGAATGCTTGGTGCGCTGGGAACGGGGCAGCGCATGCAGCATGATTGAGCACGCATCTTTGAGTTCTGATTTCAAGCAACCTCCTTGAATTCTCCCCTAAGTTCCAAGCGCTTGTTCCCTGAGATCTGCATGGCTACGGAGAGCTCTCCATTTCTGCATTGGAGGACAATCAGAAAGTGTTCAGTGACTCGGATTTTCTGTCAGGAACTTGCTTTACCGACCTCTGACTCCGTTTCGTGCTTTCACTTCGAGCCTTCCAAGGTGACGGAAGGTTGCCAGACGATTTGGACGTTTTGTTCGCATCCTTGCAGCAACATGAGCTCACTCCTGCTAGTGGACACTCCCACCATGCAAGCCTTAGCGGCTACAATCGCGAGTCAAGGATGCGATGGACCTGAACCGAGATGGCGCGGGTGCCCAGCACAGTGTTCTGCCGGAACCTGTTTGGTGCCCAATAATTCAGCTTTGCTGCATGAGTCTGATAACTGCCCGCGCACCCAGGCTACATCAGCTATCGGGCCTTCCTGGCAGTAACACTTTCGGATGACATCCGCTGCAACTCCAACATCCTCGAGGTGCCTTGTCATTGCATGTCAGTCAGGGTTTTGGCCCGTTTAGGGTTTCAAGGGAGTTGGGGTTTAGGTTGTGGATGTCGAGCATTGAAGGTGACTTTCCGAATCCTGGACACCGACAAGGAGTCCGGACTTGCGTTGGGTTCCGAACAGACCCTGGGTGGAGCAACTGGTGTTCGAAATTGTTCGAAGAACTGCATGATGTGAACAATGTGTACAGGATGGCTTCATTGGACACACAGACTTGGCGAAGGCATGGCCAAGTTGAAGAGTTGCAAATGCAGTTGGAGATCATGCAACTCTGAAGGTTTTCGGGCATGGACCAGCCGCTAGGCAGCACCTGGCAAGCTCAGATGCGCAGAAGCCCTACGGCTCTCAATGAGCACCTGAGGCATAGGGTTTGTGACGGAAGAGGGATGGACATGCACTTGCCTGTCGCGCATGCGCAAGAGTGAGATTTCGAAGTGAGCGTGCCGTGGTGGCACCCTGGACAAAGGACTCGGAAGTGTGCAGTCTGACCGTGAATGAAGTCAGCCGGGCCCTTCGGCATGCAAGAGTGCACAAAGGGATGCACAAAGGGACGCACAACGGGATGTACATGGAGACTTCTCGGATCGGATCCCGGCAGCGCTGAACATGTCTGTTTCAGCCGTCAGGGGCTTCGCAAACTTCCACAGCTTCCAACTAGCATTTCTTTGTTTTCCTTTGCCTTCCTCAGTGCCTGGCGACTTGCAGAGCAGAGCCCAGAAACATCGGATGTTCCAGGTTCAAGTATTGTTCTCAGGACAGCAAGGTCTCCTGGCAAAGCTTCTTACGGCTTCTGGCACCAGAGTTAATCGTGGCCACTTGGCTGAGGGACGTTGCTGCCTCAGGTTTCAGGATACTTTGGGCAACCTATCGGGGTTCAGCGGAGTTATACATCGGCTCAGCACTAGTGTGCTTAACCTGTTCAGCGTGCTCAGGCACAACATCAACCCCCATCTGTCGAAGTCCAAAAACAGTCCTTCCTTACTCTACTCTGCAGGCCGACGCTTTGCGTCAGCATTGCTTGCAGCTCGCAGAAGCCAGACGCCAGCCAGCAACACCAACGGTGCTGACACACTGAAGTGCTGCGGGCATCGACTGTACAGCTTGATCCGATTTACAGAAATGCGCGGCCGCTTGGCCTTTGAACACTAGCTTCTTGACGCCGACGAGGCTCAGAACCAAGACTAGTGACACCATGTCATTATGGAGTCATGCCCACATCCAAGAGCTACCTGCGCTTTACAACAGTTTTCTGGGAAGACTATGGAAGATTAGCCCCATATCCGGATAGATAGATGTAGATTTCTGCGCGTTCCCAGTGTCCAAGTCACGGCTAGGTGAGAGGATTTGCATGACTCTACCAAAGCATGGAGGACAGAATGATCAACAAACGAAGAGCAACGGACAGCCGCAGCTGGCTGATTGGACTCGCAACTTTTGCCCCCGCCCCGAGGGCCCTGAAAAGGGTCCCTCGGGCCTGGGTCACTGCAGACCCGAAGCAATCTGGTGTCTTCTGATGTGGAGGTTGCCTTTACAACCCTATGAGATTGCAATTTTGTTCTGATGGTCTGACGGGACGTCTTTCTGGTCTCCAATTACTAGAGTTTGGAATCCATGAGCAGATATCTTGGGGCCCCGTTTCGGGTCGACCATGTAACTGGAATGAGATGGTTGTTGAGGCCACTTAGGAGTTTGGTATTCTGTCGTCTCAAGTTCAAACCGAGAGTGTGGCCATCAGAACTTGGCATCCTAAAAGCCAACCCCGTAAGCAGATTCCACGGTGGTGGACAATGCTTGCCAGCACGGGAAGCACACACGCAGATCACCTTCCCCCTCCCACCTCCACCCCGCCCCAAAAAAGGACACCGTAAGATCCCCTAAGCAGATTCCACGACAGACCAGGTCTCACGTAAAAAAGACTAGCCAAATGCAGCAGATAAGTTCATCTGATGAGTTTCACTTGCAGATTTGCAGGAACGAGCTTAATCAAGGCTACGGAAGTATCTTTTGTGGCTGTGCGCGCATTATTTTTTCGAATTAGCGCGGCTAGCTCCAATAAAATTGTCCAAGCCAACCGCACTAGCGAAATAAATTAAGTAGTTAAACTACAAATCTGGTAGAAGTCGCTTTTCAAAATCAGTCCAGTATCTTGAAATCATGACACGGGCGGTTCAAGATGTAGTTTTCGTCTTGTCGTTCGAGTCCGGCCGCACCCTCAGCCTGGAGTAGAAAAATGTTTTTGCTGCGACTTAAAGAGGTTTTATTTTGCAATTTTCGAGTTGAAGTGGGGCCTTCTGGCTACGCGCAGGTGTGATGCAAAGAAGGAGGCGGGAGGACTAGGCAAGCCTCAATATGCATGCCACTTCGGGGCTTGCAGGCCTAAACCGCCACAAAACACAAAATCAGTCACAAAGCTGACTTGGTAGAGTTCGGACCAGAGGATGTCAGATCGCTTCGGAAGCTGCTGAATTTTAATGGCGAGGACCACTTTTGAAACAGTGCATTTTGCTGGAGGTTTCATGTCGGAAGAAGACGGTGCCTTTTCTTATCATCCGTTCCAGATGCATCTTCCGACACGACTCCTGAGCAAGCTTGCTCCTTTGAAGCGGTTTCTGGTTTCTGCTTTGTTCTGGCCGGGCTGCCGATTCTGCAGCTAGTTTCATCCAGAAGCCTCGCCGTCAACCCACCAAGACAATGCAGATGCCGAGTACAGTACGGCATATTGCCCCACTCACGCCTGGCATCAACATGCAAGGCAATCAGAGCAGTTCAGGTTGTGATGCACTTGTTGGGTAGTTCTATATATACAGAAGTATAGAGTCGGCACGGTGCGGCATTCAAAGTGTGTGTGTTTCTGTGCGACATCCATTCCGCTGACGTCCAGCGTTCCCTGACCACCGACCAGTCAAGACAGGACGAGATAGCAATAAATCTATAAAAATCTGCCAGTCGCAACGGCTGTGCATGCCGGAGGTCAGGCTGGGACATTGCATGACAATCGGCCAGCTCTTAAAGTGATGCTGGCAGTCCACTTCTGATCAGCGTTGAAACGCATGCGTTGACGGAGCATTCCGACTCAAAGAGGAAAAAATCGCCATCGCCGCAAGGAGTTTTATGCAAGGTGCGTGGTCGCATAAGGTTTGTGCAAGAGGCGGAAAGAGTTTCTCTGCTTACTCAGCGGCTCATGCGTCATATTATCGCGCAAGACCTTGAAGCTTTGGCTGTGGCACTGACCAACAGCACAAACAAAAGCTTCCGTGCAACATTGTCTCATTCTCGTACAATGTTGACACGATGAGGTCGTCGATTCGTGACACTCCAATTGCGTGCTCCAATTGGCTCTGTATCAGGGCTTAGCCTACATTATTCAGTAGTCCAAGTCTACAGTCCGCAATGTTGGAGTTGCAAATCCCCGAAATAGTCCCGCTTGCAGTTGCAATTCTGCGTCTCCCAGTCAGTCCAAAGAAGGCTCCTCGAAGAGGAAGTTCAGATGAGTTGGGCCCCAGAGCAACATGGTGCGCCGGCGGCTGAGTGATGCCGGGTGTGGCGGCCGAGGCCATGGCAGGGCAGCACTGTTACAAAGGCTTACCAGTCTTGAGTTGGGCTTCTAGGTTCACACATCAGAAGTTCGACTGGTTTCGCGAAGCATACTTGGCTGCATGAGGTGCCGGTCGCGGTTCGCGCGGAGGCTACGACGAGGCCAGCCGTTGTCGCGTAATGTCGCGTGGTGACATAGCCGGAGACAGGCAAGGCAACATAGCGTGCAGAAGTCAAGCTGGAGGTATCTATACACACCAAAGCACTTCAACGCGAAAAGAGTGTACTTCAGGTGCAGCCTGGTTCAGCCCCACGAGGATCGCGAGGCCAGATCCTGACACGTGACATAGACTGCGGTACAAAAGCTGCGAGTGATGGCATGCTCAGGTGTAGGGAGAACGCGTACCATCACTAACCCCTGCTGCACCAAGTGGCAACATCTCGTCGAAGCCTCTTCTTGCAATTTGTGCTGCCTGCACTGCCAGGAGACAGACGTCCGTCTAATCCGCTGGCTGCTGGCCAAGTCAAGCATGTGGCTTTGAAATGCCCTTGGCACTGCAAAGCAGGGGAGTTTGTTTGGTCCTGCGGGGTTTCGAATAGTTCGATGGCAGTACGTAGGGGATTTCTAGCATTTGAGATGCTCTAGGTGAACTGAGTTGAACTGCTTGAAGGTATGATTCGACGTGAGACCTTTGAATCGCAACGAGGCCACAATGGCAAGCACATCAAGACCGAATCCAACGAAGAGCTACGTGCCTCCAGCTCGGCCACGTGGCTAAGAACCCCAAGGCGACGATACCTTCAGGTGGAGCAATTTTGTATTTTCTGGGCTTGCTTGCGTGGTGTTGCTTATGTCTCTCTCAAAGGTCATCAAGGAGCCAGAGAAGTTCGAGGTCGAGCATTGCGAAAGTGAGTCGATCTTCTTGAAATCCCACATGGGGAAGTATTTGACGGTGGACAAGAACGGCGATGTTCGTGCATCAGGAGAGGTAGGGCTGAAGTGGGGAAAGAAGTTTGTCGACACAGTCCCCTACGACCTGTACAGCAAGTGGGACGAACTTGTAACCGATGCGACGCTCACCTTGCAAATTCGCCAGGAGCAATTGCCTCCGACGCGTCTGCCTTTCAAGTTGTGGCCCAGGACCAAGCCGACAGCGTGGGGGTCAACTGTACGGGGACAAGAGTATCTTCAGTTCCTAAGATTTCTTTGCAGGAGAACGGTCTTGTCGCCTTGCGTAGCCACTGTGGCTTCCTGGCCGCTGAAGCAAACGGCCGCATCCGTGCCAATCGAACGCTGGTAGGCCCAGCGGGAGGGCTCGATTGTTTGCACAGCTTTGCATTGGCGCAGAAGCTCTTAGCATCTTGGTAGCTCGTTGAAAGAAGAAAGAAAGAAATCAGAGAGAGGGAAAATGTCACGTTAGGCGGGAGCGGCACCTCCTCAAACCGAGCTTTCACGCTACTAGCTCGCTGACACATCCCTTCCCACGCAGTACATCCAGTGACACAGGCCGCATGCGCAACGTCAGCAGATTGTTGCTACTGCGGCAAGCAACTTCTAAGACGCGCGCAGGCAGCCAAGTGTTGCCTTTGCAGGAACAACTATGCGTCCACAGCTCCATCCATTTGCTTTGATAATGTCTGTGTGGGAACGTGGAAGAAGGGCGTCACCCCTTAGGCCCATGAACTACCAAGAAGCACACGCGCACGCACGCATGCGAGCTTGCTGCTTCACCGAACTTGTTTGTGGAGGAAGCTGGGAAATGTTTGAGGTCAAGGACCCGTGTCTTGCTAGCGCAGCACCGATCAGCGCGTCATGATGCACGATCACACAAGTGAAGCGAAACATGGCGGCCCGTGCACGGCCTCCGAGAAGGAGTCATTCACAGATCCATTCTGTGGAGAGGACCGCTCTGGAAGGAGCAAAGGGAGGCCTAGTGAAGAACCTCCGCAGCCAGCAGCCTGGCCATGACACAGCAGCAAGGAGGAGGATTCTGGTTCCATAGGCTTTGTTTATTGTGTTCTAGCTCCAGCATCTCTACTGGGCAGTGCCTCGGCTTAAGGATGAGGAAGACGATGCACACATCGCCTTCTTTGATGCCTTCTGCCGCTTAGACGCACCATAAGCTGCAGCCTTAGTCTTTCGAGGGATCTTCCGGCTCAGATCCAAGCTCATACAGTCTGATGACTTGTCCAAGCTGCAACAAGTCACAGCCTTCAGATCCTTCAGTCTGGCAAACCTCTACGACGCCCTAAACTCTGCACGGGTCGATTTGTCAACAGATGTCCTGCCCCACCTGATCCCAACGATCCGCTGATTCAATGATTTTGTAGTACGTCTCCCAGACCACATACGTGAGCCTAGGCCAAGTGGAGGCAGTTCTCACTGCGGAAGAGCGCTATGCGAAGACCCACCATGACCGCCCCAGGGTTCAGGGGTCTTCGCTGCCGGCCGTGTGCGCCTTCAGTCATGGCATGCTTTGTCTGGGCTTGGCTCAACCAAAAAAGAGAGAAGAGATCGATGTTACACGTCACGAGGATCGAACGTCCGTGCTGTTCGAGAAGCGGGTGCAGGCCCGACGGCGCGATCGTGTGGAGTGGAGCTTGAAGCACTTCATTGAAGAGAAGGAGCAGCCCGGCATAGACTGGCATCAAAAAAGTGTTGTGCACCACCACAACAGATCATGTGGTGGCATGATGCATTGCAGTTGGCAAAGAAAAAGGCCTGTCTTCTGCTGATCCGGATATGCTCAGTCTATGATCTCCTGTTCCTAAGAGGACGGCAGCTCTACAAGCTCGCCAGAGTAGACCCGTATTGCCTATTTTGAGGTATTCTCGGTCCTTCCGCGGCTGTTTGTCGGCGTGGGACATCACGCGTGTGGAGATGGAGGCAGATGGCGACCCGGCAAGTGTAGCTGGTAAGTGCGGCAATTGCAGCTGGTGAAGTCGTTCTACTCTGAGCCGAAGCTGCTCCTGCGCCGTGCGCGATGGGACTCTTGGGGGAAAGGAGTTGGGGGAATCGTTCCATTTCATTTCTTTCTGCTCTGATGGACATCGGGAAGGGAAGCATGAGACATCGATGATGTCATACGATGTCATCGTACCTTCACAGCTGAAACACATGCGGCAACCATTCAGGGTTGGCTTGCGAGAAAGATTCAAAGACCCATGTGCCGAGACTTGTGTTCCAGGGAAACTTGCAGTACGTGCCCCGAACCGAGCACGGAGAAAAACTCACTGGTCCACAAGTGAGGTGGCATTGAGAGTTTGCTTGACAAGATACCCACGCGCCGAGCCGAGATTTTAGGGGCAGCCAGCACACACAAACTCGAAATGCAAGAGACGTGTCGCATTTTGCCGTGAATGAAGTTTACTGCGCTTGCCTCGAACCCAGCACGGAGAAGAACAAGAAGAACAGGCTTTTTCCGCAAACTAGATGACACTGAGAGTTTCTTCCCAAAACAGGAGCTTGGGGCTTAGGGGTACAAAAGACGCTGTGGATGTCGCCCCTGAACCGAGCACGGAGAAAATCAAACTTGTTTCGATAAAATGTCATCGTGAGTTTGCTTGCGAGACCAGATGCACACATGTGTGCACCAGCAGCACGTGCAAGCTTGAGATACAAGGGACTTGGCGGCTGTGGCACAGGAAAATGGGACAAGATGCCCAGGTGCCAACAACTGGTGTGCCAGCATGCGCAAGCTTCCGATACAAAAGACTGCCGCACAGGAAAACGGGAAACCAGCCGTGCTTGCCCCGAACCTAGAGCGAAGCAAAGCAAGCTTTTTCTGTAAGACTACATTGAGACTTTGCCTGTGAGACAAGATATCTATGGCGCGCAGTTGCATGGGAAAGACATGCGGTTGAAACGCAGGTGAGGTGACTTTGAGAGTTTGCTCGCAAGACAAGATACCTCTTGCGGAGATTTGTAAAAAGCCTGCACAAGATTGAGATACAAGAGACATGTTGGCTGTCGTGAGGGAGATCGGGATGGAGGTTTTTCCGTGCTTGCCCAAGCATGGAGAAAACACATTTTCCCCGCATGCAAGATGACATTGAGAATTTGGGACCTGCGTGCCAGAAGCAAACCTCTTGGATGTTGCAGGCTGAAAGCTCGCCCGAAGAAGGCTCAGACAAGGTAGGAGTTACAAGAAAGCAAGCACCAGAAAGCGGGAAATTGCACTCGGCTGTTTCGCAAGCTCCAAGCAAACTGTCAGAAGGACGAAGGTGTTGCCTACAGTTGCGGAAGTTTTGAATCTTACAAAGGGTGCCCCTGGCTGGTCTTGTTTCCGTTCTAGATGTGACAAAGCAGCCTATGCTCTTCACACACATGAGAGTGGGCCTAGCCAGGGTCTAACTTCAGGAGCGCAGCAACAAGGGCCGTTAAACTTTTCAAACCTGTGACAGGGGAGCATGATTACCTCATCAAAGCTGAGATTTCCAGCCCTTCTTGCTTGCGAAACTTGCCATGACAGGCCTTTATCCCTATTCTGGACTACAAGAAAGTAGCCGACATCAGTGTGTGCCCAATCAGAGTTTAAACTTGAGCAATATCTAAACCTAGACCAACAAAAAAGACTGCAAACTGTTTTGTTTGTTGGAGGCGGGAAGGGGGGGGGGTGAGTTGATTTGTTTTTTTGAAGGTTTTTGTTTAGGATAGTTGTTTTCTGTTTGGTGGAAACCCCCAAACAGCGGCTGAGTTTTACCCCCCAAACGATTTGTTTTTGCGCCCGGGCGGACGCGGTGGGCGTGTTTTCGACGCCCCCTGGATCTGCAGAAGCATGCCTACAGGGATCCGATTTAGACGATGGAGAGCACCGGGGGGGAAGGCAGGGGCGGAGCGCGAACGATTTGCAGAAACACAGCCTTCGTGACAGAGCCTTAAGCAGCTCTCTGCCAGATTCCCATCTCTGAACAAACAGCGATGGAGCCTTTTCGTAAAGCTTCCATGCTGAAGTGAAGCATAGATCTAGAGCTGGAATCTCTGCCTGGCCAGACTGGCCGTGGGGAGCACGCGCTGGTAGAGGCAAATCGTTTCATCGGCTAGAAGTCAATCAAACCCTGGGTGCCAGCCAGAGGCTTCGGTGAAATAGGCACCGTCCACATGTGCCATACGAATGGTCGGATGGCCAAAACAGTGCAAAACAGCGAGTTCAGCTGCAGGTAAATCATCCATGGCTGTGCCATTTTACATCAGCTCGAGGCGAGCCAGACATGCCCGCGGCGGATGTAGAGGACGGCGACGTTCTGCGGCCAAGGCCTTGTCGTGCAACGTCGAGCGCTGTGGCTTGCTGTAGCAGTTCGTACACACTGGGGGCATTGCTCAAAGTCTCCCATGCTTGCGGAAGCACGGTTTAGGATCAGCTTTTATGGAGTTCACCGTTGGACGTGATCGTGCTGACAGGGCACGCTCTGGGTCCGACTGCTCGGAGGCACGCCCAGGGCCTACATCAAACTTGAGCTTCACTGGATTCAGTTGAGAAGCCTTAACCTGGTTAGGTGGCCAGCTTTGATGGCTTGGAGGCTGGCAGATGCCATTGGAGAAAGATTCTCAGCGAGGAGCCTCCATGATAATGCCACGGGCCAAAGGAAAACGCTGGTACGCCTCAGCGTGTTACTCTGCCCGTAGTCACATAATGCAGCTTCAACTCTCAAGTTGGAAGCTCCCAGGAACGCCTCTAAAAAAGCATGCAAGCACATACCCACGGTCCTCTCGCAGAGATGCGAAGGTACACATGATAGGAGACAGGATCAACCAACAGCTGTTGCGTTTGCGTCTCAGTGAGCAACTCATGCAGAAGAAGTTTGAGTTCGACAGCCTCATCCTGGAACACAACCTCAGGAGCTTCCATACTCTGCTCGCATTGTTCCAGCCTTTGGCATACCAGCATCTGCGGCCGCAGACGCCGACGAGACAGCCTGGGAGCTTCTTGCCAGACTCTTTCAGCCTTGGTCACGCTACTTGTATCGTAAGGCCCCAAAGCCTGAGAAGCGTTCGAATGCATCGGCTTCCCATTCGGCATGGTTCTTGGTACAGGATCACGCCTACGCAGTTTGTCGATGTTCGTCGCCAGCTGGCATGAATGAACCCTCGTGCCTGGATGACCAGAACGCAGTTGGAATTTGACCTGTTTAGATTTTGTACTTTGGGACTGAATCATGCTGAGCACACACACTGGGTGCAACATCAGGCTTTACGCTGTTGTTGTCGTGAGGATGGTGAGTTGTTGGTTGTTGTTTGGCGCGGCCGTTTCGTATTGGTTTGGGGTGGCGTTTGTGGCTGTGGTTGTTGTGGTTGTGCTCGCGTTTTTTGTTGCTACTGGTGTTTTTGCTGTTGTGTTTGATTGTTAGTGTTGGTGTTGTCTTTCTCTGCGAAATGGTGAATGTCATTCACAGTGCTGATGCCAACACTACGTACACATGTACCAGCCCGTTTCTCCCTTCTTTCCTGGAGCCCAGGCATTTATTCCGAGCGATACTCGGCCGCAAAGAGGTCGAATAGGCAGACTGCAGCCATAAATGGTTCACAACGAAAGGCTGCCTTTTCATCTGGCTTCCGTATTGACTGGCCACGACTCTGTGACTTAGGTGCACTTTGGGCCTCTGCAAAGCGATCGGACCTGTTGGCAACCCGGCTTTGCAAAGGCGATCCTGGTTTCTTCTCTCAATGAACAACAAGTGCTGCGTGGGTGATGTGGGTTCTACATCCAGGTGCTGCGCACTCTTGTTTAAGGTAGGAGCACCACGAGCGACTCCCGCTAAAACGCTCACTTCTGCCCTTTTTCTTGGGGGTGGCGGGCTTGGTTACGATCATGCTCATCTAACCATGGCCAAACCGCCGCAGTTTATTGTGAACGCCCCACGTTCGCAATAGCTTCGAGGGCAGCTGCCTTCCATCTACAGAAGCTTATGCTATACGGGGCTTCATGCAGGTCCAACATACGCGCTCCTTTCCCGTCGCAAAGCGATGGTGTGCGCAAATTTTTCCAGCAAGCGCGCAAAGGACAACCTGGCCATCGTCTCTTTCCAGTTCTGACATCGTGACCGGAAGGTTCATGTAAGGTTTGTGCTTCTTTCGATAACATGATGCAAAAGGGACCACCTTCTCGAGCAGCTGTTCCGGAGATTGCGAGCGGGTCGTGCCGGCGGTTCGAGGTTTTCGGCGTGGAAGCCGGGCCTTCCGGGCTCCGAGGTGACCACCTCCGGGACACTGCGTGTTCCGACGAAGTTGCAACCCACCACGTCGGGCTCACACTGCTAAGTTGGAGGTTTCAGATGTTTAAGGGTCTTATTCCAACGGCTGCAAGGGCTTTAGGGTTTTAGGATTTAGGGTGTTGGGTTTTGAGGCTCCACGGTTGCGAAGTTTGGGGTTTCAGGTTTCATGGCTTTAGGGGTTGAACACTTTTGGGGCCTTAGGTGGTTCAGAGTCCAAGGTTGAATGCTGAAACACGCCCTTTCTCATCTCTTTGCTTTGCATGGTGAGGTGTCGACTGCCGCGCTCCCCCATCCACCCTTGATGAAGCGCTGGTGGAGCGATTCGGAGGTAGGGCATCGGTGCAAGCTGGGCTTGTCGACGTGATGAGATTTGCATACCTGCAAAGCAAGAGTCATTCTCATGGAAGGGCTGAGCGCGAAGTCTATCCGGGAGAAGTTCGGTGCAGCACCAGGTCAAGCATACGACGTCAGCAAGGTAGGGGTCTGCCAACAAATCGCCGCAACACGTCAGACTTGCCACTTACAGCACACCCTGTACAGGATCCAGCTTTCCTGGCCTGGAAGAAAGTGGCTGGCCCCACTACCCGTGCAGAGACCTGGGTGCTTCAGTGCCTAGCCTCACAGTGAAAACATTGCAATTAATGGCATGCAACGTCTCAAGAATGCATTGCTTGGGCCACATGTTGGTAGGACCATTGATGCTGATGAGAGTTTGCATACCATCACTCGTCCAAAGTTAGGGGCTAGCACAGAGAAGCTGCATGCCAGTTGCATCGTTTTGGCGGAGCGAATCGCAGCCAGGCATGCAGATCGCCGTTTGGCCGAGTTTGATGCCGCCAGGTCCTGCTTTGGAACTCTACACCTTGGCGCTACTTTCAACGGGTTGTGTTAAAGGCGAAGAGCGTTCCATTGGCAGGTCAGATTACGAGCGCCGACGGCTGACCGCACAGGTTTCTACTGCAAAGTCGCTTGTCGTCGAGTTGGAGTAGAGGAAGCTTGATAAGCTTGATAAGCTTGATATAGAAGGAAGGAGTGCCTTGGAGACATGGCTGGCCTGAGTTCCAGAAGCCGCGCACAGCCTCCATTGTCTTGGGGCCGGAGCTTGATGTGACAACTGAGAGGCGGCAACTTCAGATGGCAAAGGAGCATGGGCTACCGCTAATTGTGACTCTTGTCTGCTCTGGGAGTTCATCATCTCTGCATTCTGCAAAGCAATGACTTTTGCACAGATGGCACCAAGAAACGTGAACTTCAGCGCTAGATCGAGGCAGCTGCCACCGCAGGATGATGCGGAAAGGCGAGGAAGAATGGCCCCGACGTCTGCTAACACCATGCACATATATGCACAAGTTAAAAAAGCAGCAGCCGGAGGTGCATGGCTGAGCTCTTGGTGGCCGTGTTCGGGGAGACTTCGGCACATCCGATCTTGTGTCTGGTCTACCAGGGTTTGTCACGGGGGAAGCTTCAGTAAGGTTTTTTTACCCAATAAATATGGTACCTCTGACATCTTGCGGCCTGGTCTTGCATTGGTGCTTATGCTGAGATCGCGTAGGTTGCATGAAGTAAACCCAAGCCTTGTGGAGCATCCGAGCGCAGTTCCTGAAATTCAGAAGGGCGCTCTCCAAGCCTCTAAGGTTGTCGGGCTTTCATGGGAGACCGAAGTGCGCAGCCGCCTTTCTCCGCTCTTTTCCAGGCCATGGCAGAAAGATGAGGGGCTCGCACGGTGGGGACGGACGAGATAAATGCTCCGTTTCTGAGAATGTGTGGGATAAAGTCGTAAAGTCATAAGGTACAAGTACGAGCCTGCTCCACAGCCTGCAAGCTTACATTAACACTGCAAGCATGCCAAGTAAAAGTTCCAAGGGGTTGGGCCAGCCGCAGGGCCAATGGCTTCAGAATAGCAACACGATGACTCGTAGCGACGATAGTGACGACGATAACAAAGCTGCTGCTGTTAAAACAGCAGCAGCAGCAGCAGCAGCAGCAAATTTTCAAATCGAAGCCCCAAAGAAGCCAAGGAGCCGAGGCTTCAAACACGATCCCTTGGAATGAAATGAAGACCTTTCGAAAAAGTGTTTTCCGTCTGTCATTCTCAGGACCTTGGGCATTACCTGGTTAGGTTTGTCAGGCAACCTTCATTGAGCAGGATGTAATGTTGCCATTCCGAGGTTGTTCATAGTCCATAACCTTCATAACATCCCGGCAAAGGGCCTCCCACCTGAAAAACAGAGATGCATCTACCCACAAGCGGCCTCCCTCTAGCGTGACACATTGCGACACCAGTCTGGGATGCAAACTCTTGTGACATGTTTAACGCACCCCCTGTGAGTAGAGGAACTTTTTAACCCTGCCGTGCAGGTATGATGGTGGGCTTCAGCGGCCTCCTGACCCACAGCATCTGGCTCATTTGGGCTCATTGCATCGGCTTTAGACGAAGTAAAAGCCTGACCTGGGAGGTTTACCCCTTTTATGGCCATTTATGGTGTACACAGCAAGGCAAGCACAAGCCGACGTTGGGAGAAGTGGCGTTTGACGTGCCGCTCAATCGCTTCGTCTTGGCCTCTCAGCAAAGAGCTTGTAACTCTCTCTGTGACCAATAACCAAAACTGGCAATCTGGTCTGTAAGCACACAACACGGCTGTCAACATCCCTTTGAGAACTCATGAAACCATGAAACTCTGCAAAATCGGATGCGTCGGCAAGATGCCTGATCTTGCGGCATGTCCAAGAAAGGCAAAGTGGACTTGATGATTCACCGAATCATAGCTGCATAGCTTTCCCTGCACGCGCAAGGAAAGCCTGGGACCACAGTATCCCCCGGCAGACTCCACAGTAGCTGGGGGCTTGCGCGGCAACTATTCCCATCCAGCTCATGTGCTGGAGGTGGCCGAGGAGTTCTTGTGTGGTAATTTGTTTGGGTTGCGGGGGCCGTTTGCCGATTGTGTCATGCAGGACTTCAGGCAGCTGCCTACCTGCATGTTTCTATGTGCAGGAGCTGGCTCGAGTCAAGCAGCTCAGCGCAAACGACATTCTGCAAGCAGCTTTGGCCAATACCACCAAACTCTTGAACATAATTCTCTAGAACATGGACTGGTGGACGGCGCGGCCTAGTACCGCTTCGAGGCTTCTCGTAGGACATCGCGGCTCCGGGGAAGCTTGGCGAGATGGTGCGGACTCAGCCCTTTTGGCACAGCAGGCATGTGACTACGGGCAACAACTGGAGACGGCGAACTTCCGGCGACGGGCATGGCCATGAGCTTCCATATCCTTGCCGAAGCAAAAAACTCAAAAGGAGCAAGCTTGAATCCCAGCCGCGTCGTGTTGGACTTGGTTCGGCGATCTTGCAGGAAAGCTGTGCGGGTGAAGCGCAGACGTTCTTCGTAGAGAGACCGTGGCAGACGGCAGAGAGGGGGTAAAATTTATGATCTTCAACCCTAAACGTATGAAGTTTCAACGAGCTCTGAAGCATTTGGCAGATCATTTGGTGGAGATAAACGTATTGTTAGGAAACTTTTTGGATTTTGACACTCCTTATCTCCATATCATCCTTTATCGTTCAGCAGCTTCATGCAGCTTCACCCAAGATTCCTGAAATATGTATGAGAAACCTAGAAATATGTCTATACATATATATATATATATATTATGTATGTATATATATATACAATGTATTATCATGTATTATCTACTATTTGTTTACTATTTATGAATTACTATTTATTATTTATTACTTATTATTATTTGTTATTTGTTATTTGTTATTTTGTTAGTTGTTAGTTGTTAGTTTATTTGTTATTTGTTATATATGTTTGTTTATTATTTATTTTTGATTATTTCTTATTTAATATTTAAATATATATTTTTTATTATTTAATATTTATTATTTATTGTTTATTATATATATATACATATTCGATTCAAGTGAATATTATGAGGTATTTTATAGATAGGAGATAGGATATCTATCTTCTTTATTTCTCAGGCAATGGAAAATTGTGTAAATGGTTTTTCTCTTCAATTTGATATGTGGGTCTCGATATTCTCGATTCATTGATATTTCTGGGAATAGAAATCTCTCGTATCATTCTGTATTTAATTATCGTTTTTCGATATATTGGAGAATAAATATTCGTTTCGATTATCGAATGATATTATTTGGAATTATTTGGAATTAATAAGCAAGAGTTTATACATGGCGGAAGAGGTATTGCCGACCTCGAATGCCGGTGCAACCAACGATACCAATTAGAAGATTCAAAGGAAATATTTGCATTTGGGATATTTCTTGAAATTGATTTGATTTATCGTAATAAAATAATTTATAATGAATATATAATTTAGATAACGAATGGAAATATTAGAATTCATAGTTCTCGATAATAAATCTGAATCTTAAGATTATATCCCCATAAAAGGCTACGGGCTCGACCCCTATTTTCGCTCTGCGGCCGCTCTGTCGGATGCCCCGCCTCCTCTTCCGGTCGATTTGGCTGCTTGTGAGGGCCTTGCAGGGGGATCTTGAAAATTCCGGGAATTTTAACGCTTATAGTCTAAAAATCCTGGGAATTTTGGGAATCATCCGGAGCTGAAAATTCCCGGAATTTTAGGAATCACCCGGATTGAGGTTTAGGCTTTCCGGATTGGATCTATGGTTCTAGCACAATAATGATGATGTGGGTGCCCCTTCACCTTCAGGGAAATCTTCAAGGAAATCTCTTCGTCCAGGATAGTTCAGATGACGGTCGCCGCCCGCCAGCTGTTCAAGGGGGTTCGGCCTCACGATCACATATCAACAACATTAGAATCACCATGTTCGCACATTGACTTCCACTTGGCGGTATGCAGTGTCGACGCTGGACACGCCTCATGAATTTTTCGGGATCCCCGGGTTCAGGGTTTAAGGGTTTTACGGTTGTAGG